TCTGTAAAAGAGATGAAAAGAATGCACATGAATGCAAGAATCATTAGAATGACTAACCCATTTTGAAGCATTTCTATTGGTCGATTTGTCACAAAATGTTCAATCAATGTGAAGTGCTGCTGGATTTTTCAAATGGTGTCCAAAAAAGCCAAAGAAACAAGGGCATGTAGTGTCACTGGCTGTGTTTACATGCAAGGATTTTTGCCAATCTGATTGAATACATTCTGATTATAGATTAAGACTGAGGCGTTTATAATACTCTCTCTTCTCAACAATCTGATGGAAAATCTCTGTTTACATCCTACAGATAATCTGATCCATAATTACATTCATACGTCTAGTAACACTTAATGTAGATGTTACCATGACAACCAGCATCACATAAGCCGAGTCAGAGTGAGATGAGCAGCAGTGAGCAGTGCTTGTGTTTTTAATTGCTTTAAAATGATGTCAGGAAAACGTCCTTCACATGTCCTTATTAAAGAAGGCCGAGAGGAAGACGTCGTGTTCTGAGACACATAAGCTGGACGTCCGTCCCACCACCGTCTTTTAAAGCTCAAAGTATAAACTTCATCTCCTCTGCAGACCAGTTTCTGCTCCCGCCATGTTGATTGTTATAAGCTTTCACTATGATGCGACACACATGAACAAAACATACTTAAACTTTCCAATAGGGAATGTAATCAGATACAGGTGTTTACATGGTTATTACTCTTCTACTTTGTTCTTATTTACAGGATTACCCACCTTGTTCGGTTGGATAGGAATCCTATCCCAAGTGGCTTCAATCGGACTAGTCGATTCTGATTGAGATGTTTACATAGACGTATTCTTTTCCGATTAAGCTGCTGGTTGGACTACTAACTGGTTATTAGCCTGCATGTAAATGTGGCTACTGATGCAAAGCTTCACTCTTAGGAAGCAGCAGAAGTTACTTGGGAGCTAATTTTCTTTGTTAAACCTGAGCGAGTGAGTTCAAGGCCAGTTTGATGAGGTCCTTTGGAGAAAAAAGAGTTTTTGATATAATAGCAACATCGTTTCATATGCTAGACATTTCATCATCAGAAGTAGACAAGTGGACAAATTTAGAATTTCTAAAAACAAGCCAGTGCATTGTTTTGTTGCTGACTCAACCTGTGATTTCATGCAAGCAGACTTCACCTGCTGTTATTCTGGCATAAGATGATTTGAAGGCAGTTTTTTCTAGAATCACGTACCATTTTTCCTACTGAACAAAGCAATTGTGGTTAATTAAGATTATCATTAGCTTAACAATAGTTAATGCTTCGTTTGCAAGTTTGCAATGTTGGCCTGCTTGTCATAATGTAATTATGGTGAATGCTACTTGGTTACCGACATGTAAAGGTACCCAAGGTTACACAGTTACTTCATTCGTAACCTAACGTTTTAAAACAGAGCAATAAAATAAAAAGCCTGGAGATGAGATGGGGTGTGTGGAGACAATCCAACTTCTGTTCCCTGACTAAAGGTATAAAATAATTAATGAAATTAATGAAAAAAATATGTAAATTAGGTAAAACAATAACTTGGCAATGTGAAAACAAATAAGAACATACATATATACATACATCAACTAAACCGCTTATCCTTCTGGGTCGCAGTGGGGTGCTGGAGCCTATCCCAGCTGTCATTGGGCGGAAGGCAGGATACACCCTGGACAGGTCGCCAGTCCATCGCAGGGCACAAATAAGAACAGAATAATAAAAATGAAATAATAACTAAAACATACCATAAATTACTTTAAGTTAAATAAGAATAAAAAATAAAATAAAATAGAAACAGTTGCAGGCTGATTCGTGCTGGTTAGAGAATATTTAAAATATATGTTTACTGTTTTTTTTTTTTCTTTGACCAAATGAGCAGCTTAACAGTTTTGAGTGTAAATGAAATAAACCAAGGTTGATCTCTGACTTTTGCGCAAGAACACAAATGGCACATACACTAGTTTTCCGCACGTCATTCTGGCAGAATGTTTCCTGTTCACGCCTGAAACCGAGTGCGTCGAGCCTTCAGCGCATTGTACGGCTGACGTTGACTCAGCCTGTGATTTCGCGGAATGTCAGTTTTATGCGAGCAGCCGTTGTTTTGGCATGAGATGATTCGGAGGCAATTTTTTTTCCAGGATCTTGTGCATGCAAAGTGTTTGTAGCTGAGGGAAAATAACCGTTCTCAGCGTCCAGTCATGCTCACCGCACATCCACACACCATGATATTTCCTACTGAATGAAAGTTCAGCTTGGTAACAGACTGTTTTCTGTAAAAATCACATACACAAAGCCGTCTTACCTCCAGCTCTCACCTCTTCCACACCCCCCTCTGTCATTGTCTAAATAGACCCTCTCCAGCTGTACAGGGTGTGCTTTCTCTGGGGGGTTTCTTTGACAAGTGGGCTGTTGTTTGTGTGGCTGCATTCACGGATCACCTCATTCCACACACTCAGAGGACTGACTGTGACCTTGCCAGAATAGCTGAGATGACCGGTTTCTCAGCTTAGAGTCTTTAAGGGGCACAAGGTTCTAGAATAACTGATGAGGTCATGGTGTCGGGGAGATCTGCAGTTATTATCAGTGACAGTAAACTATTCACATAGATGAATACATTTATAATTACATACATTCTTAAAAGCTATGGTTCTTTAAGGGTTCTTTAGCAAAGAAAATGAAAGAACTACTCTTTGCATGGTTAAACGGTTCATTACTTTGAAAATGGTTCCTCAAATCGAAGGAGAATGTTTTGTAGAACCTTTTAAAAATGGTTTAATGTTGCAACAAAAATGATTCTTTTGTTGTTACAATGTCAAGTCTGTAACAATAGAAGAACCCTTTTTGCTGCTATGTATTACCCTTTTCAAAAAAGTTCTATGTAGAACCTTATAACACACTTTCAGCGGCAATCATGCGATCCCTTTCACTATGCAAAGAACACTTTAATCATGAAATCTTGTAAAAGATGGTTCTTCAAGGGTTCTTCAGTTTAGACACCGGTTCTACATAGTACTATGAATGCTCAAAGAAACATTTGCATGATCTACATAGCACCTTTTTGGAACCAGTTCTATATAGCACCAAAAAGTGTTTCTCTATTGTTGCAATGTCAGGCTTGTTATGAAAGAAGGGCCCTTTGCTGCTTTATAAAACCCTTTTCAAAGGTCAAAGGTTCTGTAAAGAACCATAGAAAACTTGCTCTCCATCAATCTGAAGAACACTTTAATGATGCAAGGAATCCTTAATCATGCACTTCTAAAAAAGATGTTTCTTCAAAGGGTTCTTCAGTTTAGAAACTTGTTCTACATGATTAAAGGGTTCTTTGCATTGTTAAACATTTTTTTTTTCAGATTGATGGAGAATGTGGTTCTTTATTGCACCAAAAAGGGTTCCTCTATTGCTACAGTGTCAAGCTTGTTATAACAGAAGAGCCCTTTATGGTACTATATAAAGTCCTTTCCAAAAAGGTTCTATATAGAACCATATAACACGTTCTTCATCAATCTGAAGAATGTTTTTACAATGTAAAGGGTTCTTTTAATGTTCATGGTTCCATATAGAATGATTTTCTTTACTTAAGAACCCTTGAAAAACCATGTTTATTAACTATAGATATATGAAATTGCATAGTCACGGATATTTGGTTCACATTCTGTATTGACAGTTTCGAGTCTACTCTTGTTTTCCTTATTTGTTTCAATGATGAATATGTGGCAAAATGTAAAACATTTTTTTTTTCTTTCTGCAAAACAGAACTTTATACACAACAATAACACCAAATGATAATTGACAATCAAAACAGAAGGAAACCAGATGTGGTGCCGCTTCATATTAAGTGTCTGTAATAACTGTGTAGTTACATGCGAACAACATATGCAACAACAATGTAACTACTAATGATTTAGTCACTGTTACAGATGGATTACAGAAGTACAGCCTATGTAATTACACAAGTGTATCTTAATAGTTGTACCAGCCTATTCTCTCTCATGTATTTACACAGGGATAGTAACATAAATGTAATTACATTTGTAATCAGACTGGAACAGCAGTTTTTTCTGTAGTTTTTATTTCCAGCAGTAAAAGGAAGTATATAATAACTTAAAATAATTGTATCTGCCAAGTTTCCTAACATTTAGCTAGCATTTATGTTGCTAGTGTTGTGACAATGTAACCAGTTTCAGCTTTAAACCATTCTGTAATGTGACAGCAGATGTAAACATAAAGCACAGTAGATATAAACATATTTAATATAATTACATAACTTAAAAAATATGACATTTGATTTCCACTAAGAGGTCGACCTAAAGAGGCTACATGAACACAGTCTGTAACTGTGGCAAAGTTACTGTAACATACAGCTGAGTGTGGTTTATTGCTTTTGTTTACCTTTTTGTTGAGCAGGGCGGGGCTGTGGAGTAGATGAGGAGGTCAGGGTGAAGGAGAAAGCTGAGTGTGTTTAAAGGGTTAAGATGATTGTGCTGAGGGTTTATTGGATGCAAGCACTCCATGTGACAGATGAGGATGGGGTGGTTTGAGGGTAATACACACTGGGAATTTATTTGTCAGTCAGATAAATGAATGTCTGTCTTTCTCTCTCTCCCTCTTTCTTTCCTTCTTTCTCTCTCTCTCTCTCTCTCTCTCTCTCTCTCTCTCTCTCTCTCTCTCTCTCTCTCTCTCTCTGTATCTCTATCCTGCTTTCTCTCCTTTTCTCTCTTTCCCTCTCTCTACCTCTATATCTCCCTTTCTTTCTCTCCTTTGTCTCACTCTCTCTGCCTCTCTCCCTTTCTCTCTCCTTCTTTTTTCTACTTTCTCACTCCCTCTTTCTCTCTTTGTCTCTCTTTCCCTCTCTCTCTACCTCTATACCTCTCTCCCCTTTCTCTTTTTTCTTTTATCCTTCTCTTGCACTCACTCTTTCTTGTGCCATCTCTTTCTCTTCTCTCTTTCTCACTCTCTTTATCTCTCTCTGTCTCTCTCTCTCTCTGCCCTTTAAAGGTGAATGCAGCTGTTTGGAGGGTTACTCTCCTGACCCGGAACACAAACACCTCTGTGTCCGCACTGACTGGGGCCGCAACGAAGGGTAAAACTCCACCATACAGACACACACACAGAGAGAGAGAGATAGAGATAGAGAGAGAGAGATAGAGAAAGAGAGAGAGAGAGAGAACGGAAATAAAGAGGGAGAGAAAAACAAAAAAAGAGAATGAGAGAAAGCAAGAAAAGAGAAATGAGGTGAAGTGCAAGAGAGAAGGGAAATGCAGAAAGAGAGTTAATTGAAAGAAAGGAAGAGAGATACAGAGAGACAGAGAGAGAGAGAGAGGGAGAGATGAGAAAATAAGCTTCATCACCTCTCCATAAGCCCAGTGAAGTGTTACTACCCTCTCTGACTCTGGCTGTGCATGTTAATTAACCTGGCCAGGATGCAGCTGAGCCAATAAAATGCCACCACAGGTCTTGGGCTTTCCTCCTGGCAGTTCTCCTAAAGACTGGAGGAAAACAGTCCACAACGATGACGCAGCTGAAAGGGAACTAATAGAATTAGAGGACAGATTGTGTTGCTACCTGATATGTTTCAAGACCCTGTTTGCTGATGTTGATACAATATTTAAAAAAGTGTAGACACTAAGGCCCAGTCCCATTTCTTATTTTTACCTCTACCCCTTGTTTTTGAGTGTCACCTTGCTCCTTGGAACTAAGTTACAAGGGGTAGTTTTTTAAATCTTCCCTACGAAATGGGACCCTCAAATGAAAACAACGTTACCTCATTAACAGGCTCTGTAGGTTGCCCTGCCAGTCTGATAGCAGAGGAGGGAAAAATTTAGCAACCTCACTGCTGGGCATTAGTTACATCATATGCTTTCAAAGAGGGGGGGGAGTGATAATTATTTATTATTGCCCACCCCTGAAGCTGAAGTCAGCTATTCGCCAGCTTCTCATTCAAATTTTCCAGTTTCATCTTAAATGGAGCAGCAGTTACATTCTGGTGCATCAGGCATCAGAACTGGGCCTTGGATGACTTCTGGATCAGCTTTATTGAGAAATATAACACCAACCCTCACTGAGTGTGTTTACATGCACTTCATAATTGATGAATAATCCAAACTGCAGAAAATCAGATTTTGTCAGTAATCCAATCAATGTGTTTACATGCATTTGGGTAACCAGATAATGGGGAAACTCCAGGTCTACATGAGTCAGGCAGTAATCGGATTTCTGCTTTGCAACCAGCCAACAAACTCACAGAAGAAGACGTGTCGTAAACGTAATGTAAAATTCAAACTTCATGCTGAGGCTGTTTTTTTAAAAACACCGCACCACTTTACCTGAAAAGATGAACATACCTCATCAAAAAGACAAAGAATATTTAAATCTTTCATTTCGTCAAATGTATTTGGTTTCAGCGTTGCTTTAACAGTGGTTTCCTGCCATCATGTGGCAATGCTGCCTGCTTATTTCCGGTTTCCTGTTTTCTCACATGCACAGACTGAGAAATCTGAAAGAAATCAGAGTAAGAGTTTACATGCACCGAGAAATCTGATTACTGAGCTAAAATCCAGATCTCTTTATCAGATTTCTTAATCAGATTTCTAGATCAGAGTATGCTGTTTACACGACCATTTGAATAAACAGATAACTGCAGATATCTTTTTATGATTGAATTATTGAGTGCATGTAAATGCACTCATTGACATAACCATGCAAAAATTGGCACTGTTGGACAAAACCTCCTATCAAAGAAGTAACTTTACAAGAGAAGCAAAGCATTCAGGACCATTTTGGACCATTTCTATTGGTCCATTCATCATGAGGTTTTAACACAGAGTCCATGGCAGCTTGTGTTCTCGAAATGTAAGAAATTAATAAAAATAAAAACAGCAAAAGCAGAGCTACAAAGTTTTATCCCAAAAGCAATGACATACTGACAAATGACAGTGAATGACATCTGCCATGACTTATTTATGGATTATATCAAATGTAATGTAGTAGGTAATTAATTATTAATTGTAGTATGTCATTAAACCTTTAAAATCTCATACTTATTACATATTAAGGCTTATTATTCAGTAACTACACGGGTTACAATGCAAACTAGCTGAGCTATTTTTAGGTTATTGAAGTGTGTGGTGAAAATTTGGACTGACCAGTCTTTCTTGGCTATTTAAAGGGTTAAAGTGTTACTGTCATTAGTAATCACTGATTAAGCTCCTCCAGTGAAAAACCATATAATAACCATCTTACCTCTTACATTAAAAAGCCAACTATGCTTCACTTACATTTTAGTGACCCCTTTATTTAAATACATGGCATCTAACAGTGCCATAATACTCTTATTTAATGTTTACATAAAATTTCACTGACTGCTTTTATTGCTAAGGCTTAACTGTTGCTTTCTTTTATTCATTTGATCCAATTTCCTTTATATTTCCTCATTTTTGTGTGTCCCTGCTTGGGTCCTGCAGGCCGTGGCCATACTCAAATCTGGAGAAGGGTTACGACCTGGTCACAGGAGAGCAGGCACCAGAGAAGATCTTCAGGTGAGCAGTCCACTGTCCGAACGCATGAGCAGGTGTGCGCTGAGACCCGCTCCCCAGACACACGTCACAGCCCAACAGACTCCATTTCAGACAGGGTGTCCTTCCAATTGCAGCTTTCTGAGCAGAACAAGGCCAGACAAAATCCCCAGGGGTGATGGAAAGGGGGCTCCAGGACCACTCTGGCCTCGGGCGATGTTCTGGCTCAGGGCTTTTTCAGGAGCTTTCAGTGCCAGGCCTTTTGACGGCACGCCTTCTTGATGGACGCATCCTTCCTGACATTTTAGATGGAGGGCAAGGGCCACAGTGACTGGAGGCTGGATTTAACAGCAACTCGGAGGGCTTTTCACGAGCCTCGCACGGAATTGATTCCTTTGGAAAGTCCAGCGCTGAGTGCTAAATTTAGAACTCAGAGAAGTTGATGACCTCAAAAAAATAAATAAACTGAAGACTGAGCTGCCAGATTATTATCCTAGATGTACCCCACCCTTGCGGTCCCTTTCCATTGATAGATGAGTAAGAGCAAGTAAATTGCTGATAAATTGAGGAGATTAAAAGGAGTAACCATCAGTCTTCAAACTGTTAATTGCAACCACACCATAAAACCACACTTTGGCCATAAGACAGGGGTCCACTGCTGTAAACCTATAAAACATACTTATATGGTGGGTGTTTTTGAGAAATTGGGCAATGAGCGAACATTAGAGATCAAAAATTTGGAATTTCTATTTTCATTAACATGAAATCCATCTTGTGGCAGATACATGTATACAATAATTATAATAATCTGTAGGTTTCTACAGTTTTACAAAGCTGTAAAACAAGACATTTTCCATGATAAACAGAGCTGTAGATGATTCCATGATAACTATGAAAGATTTACAGCATCACAAATGGTCTTACTGTAACATTAATGTCCAGAAGGCCTCATAATTGAAAGCAGTGACTATATCTCTTTGATTAAAAAGCTGTGTGTAGTGATTTTGAGATTACTATACTTTTATACTATACATTATTGACAGTTTATTATGTAGTAAAACATGTTTTTCACCACCTCATAACTTCCCATCGTTTCCAAAATACTTATGTATTAACCATTGGTTTATATTTTGGTGTCAGTCCACAATGTAGAAGTATCATTAATATGACTCAAAGTTGTTTTGTACAGTAGTGTATGTACGAGGTGGGTAGATAGACCTAATAAAGTGGAAAAGAGGTTCATTTTATACCAAGTCAACAGATTAATAGAGGCAGACATTGTGGCAGAAAATCCATACAAACTGTAAAAGTGATACTGTTAGACTTAAGTGTTACGAATGCGTAGTTCAGTTTATTGATTTTCTCTGATTACACTACCGAGGCTGTGGGATGCCTTAATCATTGTGTTTGTCAAAATGTTCTGCCACATAAAAATAACTTTGCAGAAGCGATAAAGTTCTAACTTACATATGAGTTATCAAAATGAGATTTAAGTATTTTTCATCACTTATTTTGGCCTAATTATCATGAAACTGAAAATAAATTAAGAAATGAAGTATTTATATGACTTGGACATTTGATTTTTTTTTCCCATATTGTAAATTTACTGTGTAAAAGTTTACGTCAGCTTTAAATCTATTTTTAAAACTAATTACATGACTTTTTGCCAATAAAAAAAAAAGTTTCACATTGAAATAAACACAAAAAACGAATACAAAATGAGATTTTTTTTAGTTATAAACAATGTTGCTTAGAAATACGCAATTAGAAAAACACAGGTTTGCTTTCTTATCTCAATTTTTTTGCACTTTTGCACAGTACTGGACATTTTTTCACACAAAATAAACCTCTAAGATTCAGTCATAATAGTGGTCACTTAACAGTTTAAAGGTGAAAGGTCATAGCTGTGCAGCTGCAATATGTTTATTAAGGCCCACATCACTGTATAAGCTAAAGAATAGTGTATTACACAGTACTTATTTATTAATAGTGTATGAATAAGCGTGTAGTGTGCAGTAGTCAGCTTGGACGCACTGACTGTGAAGGTGTTTCTGAGCAATTTTGGTTAATAATTGGATTATACTGTGTGAACGCTGCCTTGTGTGAAGCCTTAACTATTATGAACGCGCTCGCATAGCTTAATTAGCTCAATCCGTCTGTTCTGACTGATTGCACAACCGAGGTTGGAGCGTGCCATAATCATTACATATAGTAATTATAATTTCTTGCCTTGCCAATTAACCGTCCATCACTGTTTAATTAGCGAATTTACAAAGCTCATGAGGTAAATGTTTCTCAGCTTTCAAAGCACAAAGTCTACAGAATGCTGTTTATTTTCGGCATCTTCACAAAGCTACAAAAACACCAGCCAAAATGGCCTACTTCAAATTGATACCACCCTTCCTCCGTCACCTTACTTACTCAGACTGTCACCACTCTCTACCAGCTGATGACACAATCATTTAATGCAGCCGGTCTGGAGTTGATTGATGGTTTGGAGAAGCAGCCAATCGATGGCCCTTCTAGTGTCAGCTGATGAGCTGGACCATAGGTGTGTTATTTATGAGTGGAAGTGTGTATTGATCTGAGGTGATTCACTGTGTACTTGTCTATATCATAGGTCAGAGACTAGGTCCGCATAGTGGTGGAGCTTTACAAGAACCAAGGCTGATAACTGATGGACAAGGTGTTTTTAGAAGTCTAGGGTTATTGTCATTGTATTGCTATGCAACGACAATGTAATTACATTGCATCTCCATTCAGCTTACATTCTGCATCAATAGTCAAGTCTGCAATGACAATAAATCATAAATAGGTGACACTATTTTGAGTGGTCCTTTCAATATGAAACGAATAGCTTCACTGCTGCTACTTCAGTGATATGTTATTCATGTGTTACTGATACTCTGTTAAGAGTTTATTAATCATCTACAAAGGACCACTCCAAATAAAGTGTTACCCATAAAAATGTAAATTCTCAATTTCTGCACCTCTTCTACTTACAAACGTAAAGTGAAAAATAATGGTAACATTTACTCTAGATCAGTCTACATAAGCTTTTCATGGCAACTGACATAAACCTATATATGTATATATATATGTATTTTTTTTTTAATTGGTAAAGTCTTATTCCACCAAGTAAAAGGTGTCATAACACTTGCTAAAGTGAAATAACATCAACATTCTTAAATGCAGTCTTTGTCAACTGGTGGTTCTTTGGATAAGTCTTTAAAATTGTCAGTAACACTTTAATGTAGGGTTATGTTCATGAGGCTACAAGACACCAACATAAGCTCATCACAACAGCTGACATAACCCTATGTAAATATTTATAAATACTTTTTCCAATATCCGTTATTCTCTACATTTGCCAATTTGGATGTTATCTAAAGTAACTTTTATGACAAATGATGCCAATTGGAATAAGCATTTATAAACATTTGTGCAGGGTTATGTCAGCTGTCATGATAAGCTTATGTAGGTGTCATGTAGTCTGTAACCCTACAGTAAAGTGTTACCAAATTGTTTACATAAATTCATGCCAGTTGATATGAATGGCATATGTAGGTGCTGGGTAGCTTTCAGTTGCTGCCCCTCAGTGTTACCAAAACGATTGAGGAATAAAAATCATTAATTTATGTTGGGATAATGTTCACATTTGAATCAAGTCAACTCAATGCACTTTTTAAATGTGTTAGCACATCCTCTCCTAAAAATTCTTTGACCTCTGTTTGGTATATTACAGATTGGCTCTTTTACTTTACAAAACCATATGCTAATTTGCAGCTTGTCATCAGTTAGCCAACTCAGGGTGACATTCAAGAAAGTTAGATTTGCAGAAACTGATTTGTAAAACTCCAGGCGAAGGATCTCCACTTAATATTCCTCTTTCGTTAGTAAGTAGATTAATTTCAGCGAGCTAATGATCCGTTCACTGGAGACAACATTAAGTGCTTTATCAAGAATGTCACTGCGCAGTTAGCGCACAACTTCAATGAAAGTAAACACAAAGTGAATAGCAGTCAGGCGGGTGATTACTGCACGCCCATGGCTAGACATGGAGGGTGCGAACGCCTCAGAGGCGGAAGTTATAAAGAAAGAACAGTGAGAGGACAGCCAACAGCCTTGTTGATCTTTTGCTTGATGCACTGTATTGACTCCTGGGTGGTCCGTCTGATGATTCATGTGTTGTCTGTTATCGTCGACCCGCAGTTATATAAGGATTACATAAAATAACTGGCTCAGAAACAAGGCTTAACCTTCATATTGTCACTTCTATGACAGGAAGAGTGTTCTTTGCATCAATGTTCATTTTATTCTGAATAAGTTTGAAGGGGTTTTATTGGTCTAGTTATAATGAAATGTAAAAAATGGAAACAAAGTTTTCATCAGCAAAAACAGCATGTGATATGATCTGTCATGACATCAAATATTGGTAACACTTTACTAGAGGTTACTGTTCATAAGGCTACATGACATCTACATAAGCTTGTCGTGACAACTAATATAACTGTAAATAAACGTTTATAAATGCTAAGGCGTCATATGTCATAAAGACTACTTTAGCTAACATTGATTAAAACTGGAAAAAGTAACTTTTGTAGTGAATAACACTATTCCAATTATAAACATTTATGTAGGATTATGTCAGTTGTCATGATTAGCTTGTGTATGTGTCATAAAGACTTATGACCAGTACCCTACAGTAAAGTGTTACCAAACATTGTGTTATGTGCCATGACAATTACCAGTAATGGTAATATGCTGTTGATATATTACTGAACAAATTTTGTCATTAGAACTATTGACAGCATATGACAGCTGTTATTAGAAGTTTATAGCATAGTTGTATCAATGTTATGTAGCTGTAAAGTGTTCTCAGGATTTTACTAGTTGATTTGCTTGTTTAGTTATTCAATGTACGTTTTTTATGCATATGATTACATTTCAAACTGCTGCCATACCTGACATAAAATATATTTACAATAACATAAGCCAAAACATGTGGATTGATAACATGCATCACCTCTCCATGCATTGGACAGGCTTTTCAGTTACCTGAATAACTGAGAAATCCACTTTAGGGTTATTCACAAAATGAGATTTCCTTGCTTAGACAGAATGTAGCCAAAATCAAGTCTGTCCAATAGAAGAAGGGACAAAGGACACCCTTGTTGGATACCTTAGACTTATATTTTCAGGCTAATTGACCGACACATGCTTCATCTTCAAGTGAGCTCCTTCATAGCTACTGTAGTCTTATGGGGCTGGACATGATATCGAGAATGTCTCAGAACAACCAAGAGAAATGGGTGGGAATACGTATTTATTAAGGTGGGAATAAACTGATGCCTTGTGGAGGCAGAGCTCAAAGTAGGGGATGATTGTATGCTAATTAACATTGTCCGACAGACAACAAGTCTATCGTAGCTCATAGATGTAACATAAGTGGGCATGACTGAAATGTGTCCCCAAAAGTTTTAGTTAAGCATGTAGATATAAGATCTGAGCAGAGAACACAATGAGAATTACAAAAATATGTCATGAAAAATATTGATAATCTAATAATAATAATAATAATAATATGACACTGTTATTTTACTGTATATAAGATTTTATGGCAAACTATGATAGCTTATGACACCTGCTATGACATGTTTATGGCATGGTAATGTTAATTTGTTACCACATTACCACTTTGAATGGAAAAGTAATAGTTTATAATTAGATGACATGATACCTCAGTTACTGTCTTCGAATAACAAGTTTGAAGTGGTTTTGTAGAACTGATTATTAAATACTCATTTTGCAGAATAAAGATTAGCTAAAAACAAGGTTTTGTTAGCTTTCATGTTTTACTTGTGTTATCAAATCTATGGACATTAAAACAAGGACTAGAAGTTTTGGGGGCAGGTTTAAGAGGGGACATAGCCTTGTTAGTAGCTCAATCCTGCACCCAAAGTTTAACAAGTTGTTTCCAGACATGTATTCTTGTAACAAGATCATGTCTGGCACAGCAAGATTATAGTTACTGCTGCTAGATTGGATAAGCTGAAAAACTTTCCTTTCAAATCATATTTATTTTTCTATGTGTGTAAAAGTTCGCCCTGTTGGAATAGATCTGGTGCAGCATGGTAGTTTCCAACCAGCCTAGTTCTACAGAAGTTAACAATGTTTTGTATCATCTCTGAACAAAGTGAGCTACAGTTTCTCATTAGTCTCAATCTACATATCAGCTATTCCAGCTTTAGACTTTAATACAAAGCCTTCCTTACACTGTTTATGCTGTCACAACATATTTCCCTTTGACAAAAAAATGGCCCCGCTTTTTCTGGTCATTATGGGTTCCTGCTAATAAGCAGCTGTCTTGTTAAAGTTGGCAGTCTCAGCTCACTCCCTGATGAGCTGCTGTTGTTGCTGTTCATGCAGGTCATCCTACAGCCTGGGCCAAGGCCTTTGGCTGCCGGTCAGCAAGAGCTTTGTGGTGCCGCCGGTTGAGCTGTCCATCAACCCTATCGCCAGCTGCAAGACGGACGTGCTGGTCACAGAGGATCCGGGGGAAGTCCGGTGAGTGTTTAAAAGCTGAGTAGGCAATACAGTGACCTAAACTTTGCTGCTGGATAAGGGGTTTTGAAGTCATGGTGACAGATTAGTTAGTCTTTATATTTTGGATTGGGAACCTGAGTTTTTCATTTTCAAGGCTTTCACTGGGTTGAATACTGTTTCTTGTACAAACATCAATAAAAAGTTCATGCATTTGTACGAATTTTTTTCCAAGGCAAAACAATTTAAGTCAACAAGATCTCAACATATATGGATCTTCTTCAGTTCTGTTGGAAAAGCATCTCAGGTGGCTTCTCAAAAAGCTGCTTGGGAGAACACCAATAATATGTAATACTAAGGCAAAGGAAAATCCTTAAACTGAAGATTTTTTTACCCTACCATTGGGCAGTCATGGGTTTGATCCCTGTCGATGCTACAACCATCCATGTCCAGGAGTCCTAGAGAGCATAATTGTCCTTAATCTCGCTGGGTGGGTGGGATGGCCCTCTCTCTCGCTAAATGTGTTGAGCTGTCAAAAGATGTATGAAAACATGTTTTGATTTATGTATCTTGGTAGAAGCATTTGCTAGCTTTCAACTCCCAGCTTGGTAGCATTGTGTGATAGGGAGAGCTAGTTAGTGGGTAGAATTGGACCTAAATTGGTGAGAAAATTGGGTAAAAAAATAAAAACTGGGCACTTTTGGATGCTACATAATTAATAATATGTAATTCTTTATGTATTATTTCATAGTTTTGCCTTCCCTATTAGTGAAAATGGGGACAATTTTTCTATGGGTAGGTATATCAAACTTTGGACATTTAGACATTTAATTTTTTAAACAAGTTTAATTGAATAAATTATAACAGGTGCATATAGACTGCCTGATCTCTCTTATGAGCGTGAGCCAACAAATGTTTGATTCTGTTGCCAAGCACAAGAAAACCATTAAAATTGTCCATTAGAATTGTACAGATGTGGGATGATAACAATTAGGATAAAAACAATTAAGTGTAAGTTTGTATATACACTGCTTTGTCCCACTTTATATTATTTGTTTCTAATTAGTGTGTGGATACATATTATCAATACGTGCAACAATGATGTTACTACTGGTGGTGTATTTGCTGTTACAGATAGATTACAGTAGAACAACTTAGGTTAATATACATGTATATCAACTTCAGTTTGTACCCATGTATGGCATCAAATTACAGAATGGTTGAAATTTGGCATTTCCTTTTTTTCTCTCATAATGTCAATCAATCAACCTTTATTTAATCTCAGAGGACATTGAGGGTGACCCTCATTTACAGTGTTGCTGAGTTGATACAGAAAAAGGGATTAATAATCTGTAAGAACAATGTAATGACACACCTATTACCATCAGAAAAGTGTTGCTGGAAATATGAGCCTCTTACATATGTGTAATTACATTAAAGAAATCATGCTATTACAACTTCCAAGCACAACACACACTAACACACCACCTGATAGTTTCCCTGATAGTTTCTGCTGATAGAGAATAATCCACCACCCAAGTAGTACCTGCTCTGTGAGGGTCCGTGGGGGTCCTGACCACTGAAGAACAGGGTAGAAGGGGGCTAACAAAGTATGCAGAGAAACAGATGGACTACAGTCTGTAACTGTAGAACTACAAAGTGCACCTATATAGTAAGTGGAGCTGATAAAATGGACAATGAGTGTAGAAACAAGGAGGTGGTCATAATGTTAGGCCTGATCGGTGTATATAACCCTAAATACATCACCAGTAGTTACAATGTTGCATGCATTAGTGATGTGTAACTACACATTAATTAAAGAAATTTTATATAAAGAGGGACCAAATATTTTGTAATATCCAAATATGCAGACACTTAACATTATATTTCTAACTTTTCTCTGAACTTGTCTTGTGAGTAGCTCAGAGTCCATTTCTCTCCCGGTGAGAAGTTTAGTTCATCGCGTTTCTACCTACGCACTTCCTGAAGGCAAAACCCTCTCAATGTCACTGCCTCCCACCTCTTTATTTCTGATGCTAAGTGATAGGCTCCCAACCTACTGTTGACATGAACAGCCTTTGGGGAAGCAGCTATTTATTTTGCCTTTGCATGTATAGCGAACTGTTTCACTGCACCTAACACACATTCTGCTGCTTTTACAACATCAGCATCAGCACCAGTAAAGCTCCATCATACGCTTCCAGCACTTCCTCTGCTACTTCTTCTGAGACTTTCTGGAGATATTAAATCACATGCTGTGCACAGTAAAAGGTACATTGGCCAATGAATCGCTGGTTTATTTTAAACGGCCATTTATCGGGCCGTAAATTTGGGCTTAAAAGCCTGTCGGCCAAGGAATTATATACTAAGGAAATTCAAGTTCATTATGGAGGAAATTTAAGCTGCTATGAGACATGTCCAAGTGTTATACAGTCTATGCCAAAAGTAATGCACTGCTTAAAGGTGAGGTTAGTGATTTATGACTTTAACAGTTCTTGTAGATCATGGAATTGGACAGCTGTGCTTTACTTTATCTTTTGGACTAGTTATAGTCAGAAAAATAGTATATTTGCTTAGTGTATATAATTTGGAGCAGTATGTGAGCCAAACAGAGGTCCATTTTGCATTGAGCATATTTTATTAGTTATTTGATATATTGGTCACCCCCATCAGAGCAAAGTTTCAGTAGATTGTTGGTCATTAGTGTTTTTACATAATGTACGCTTGTAGATCTGCCTCAGAATCTGTTATGTAATTTTTACCAATAAACAAATGAATGACAGTTGTTTCTAATATAAATTAATTACACTCCATTACTCATCATCATCATCTTTGTCATCATCATCTCCATCGCCTTCAACCGCTTCACCCAGATAGGGTGGTGGCCTCTACACAGTATAATAAAAAAATCCTCAATTAATATGTACATTAGCAATTAATCAATAATTAAATTATTGATACTAGTTGGCAATTTTCATAAATTCTACTGGTCTCCTTTACAGTAAGAAACAAAGTCTGAGAGACATCAAGTTTACATGCTTATTTGGAATCTTTGAATGTCTGTTGAATGTTGTTTTATGGTCTGTTATTGTTAAAAATCTGGCTTTATAGCCAAAAAGTTTAACTCAATTGGGGTTCCTTTTTAATGTAGATGGTATTGAAGAGTGTTGTCTAACAAAACCCCCATATAGGGGATCAACTGGGCTGAAATCTGGTGACTGTGAAGCCTGCAGCATATGATTTATATAATTTTCATATCTCATCAAAACATTCACTGACCCCACATTCCCTGTGAATGGGGGCGATGTTTTTGGAGACCACTCCCATCAGGATTGAAATGTTTAACCATAGGACACAGCTGACTGATCAGTAGTGAGTGGACTCAAAATATGCCATCAGTCACCAGATCCCCTCATTGTAAGGGTCAAGCATTCAGGCCTGGATTCCTGTCTTGGTATACACAACACATGCACTTGCCCACTTTTGGAGAATATGGTGAAGGATGGCTCATTTGACCATATTACTTTTTTCACATCTCTATAGACCACAATTTCCAACTTTAGGTCACTTTAGTTACTGTTCCTGTTGAAACACTAGCCAGTTGAGCAGTTTGTCCGACTGAAGCTCTTGCTATCCATGCCTCAATAATGAACTCTATTTCAAAGTTTTCGTTCTTTTCCTTCTGCCATCTCGATCCAAAATCAAGGTCAGCCTGCCCTGCTCAACATTTTCGTACATGATACTGACCAGGGTGGAATGTTTAACCCCTTAAAATTCCAGGCTTATTACATACTAAGGATTGTTATTTAGTAACTACAGGGACTATAGAAGTGTGTAATAACACTTTGGGCCCCCAGGTGTCCCTGGCCATTTAAGGAGATAACTGCTTAACTGTATCATGCAGTACACCTTTCTTGAAGCATCTGCGCTTATTTTTCCACACATTTTTGCTTTAATGTGCACTATGACTAGCATAATAACAGTGATAACTCTAAAATAAACAAACAAAGAAATTAATAAATACATTCTGCAAAAAATGTGAGATGAAAAGCTTTCTAAAAGCAATGGGAGGTAGAAATGAAAGCCTTGTGATTGCTTGTGGCAAAACCATTTAGGTCATGTTGTCATCAGTGTTGATGTGATTGGATATTGTTGTTGAAGAGTGTCTCTGTTTTGTTTATGCATGCTATCGTGCCCAGCAGAGCAGGAACACTCTGAGTGTGGAGACTCCAGTAAAGTCACATGGGAAAGCAAACATGGCTAATCCTCTCCGTACTAGCTGGCTAATGCAGCTGTCAGCTGTGTGGTGGGACATCTGGGCCTTGGCAAATCAAGGCCTACTGAAGGAAAGGAGAAAAAAAGGTCGCTAAACAGAGTTTAGTCAAAACATTTGAGCTCCTGCAGAAAAGAGCCTAGTCTTGATTCAGAATGATGCCTAAATAAGGCTGTCCAGTTGTAGCCTATGCACCTGTGAGAAGTGAGTATGGTTTTGCTGGACTTTCTTGCTTCCAGCAGATATGAGGAAGCACCTTAGGTGAATGTTACATTATAGGAGGGGGTATCAGCAGAGATGACATTTCATTTCTATTAGTGATACTAAAACCTTGATCACCAATCTGATAATGTTTTCATTAAAAAGTACTAAACTTTGAACATTTTAACTCAAGCTGGGTGTCTACAAGCACCACGCTCAATTAAACACTTCAGAAAGACATAAAATAAGCCTACAACCTAGAGAATTGGTAACTTTATTTGAAGCCTACCTATATAGGGACTTCATAATAATGCACAACCATTGGATAACATATTCATAAAGCAGTAGTTTAATATTTATAAACAGCTTATGCCAATAGATGACAACATAACATATTTTATGAAGTAGCACTGAATTAGATATAGAGGTCTTTAAACTAAAGTGATGTGATTCCATATCTTTACTTCTACTTATGCATCTGTACAATGATATACAGTAACACTTTTGCGTTTGTTTTGCTCTTTTTACTGTATTTTGTGCTGTAATATAT